GTTTCTTAGTGTTCAAATTTAATCAACTATCTAGGTGCATGCACAATTTACTGAGAAATGTAGCTCAAACCTGAAAAAAGGACAAAGCTGTCCTTGGTGTTGGGCATTTTAAAGACGTAAATATTTGTGGGCATTTAAAATATACAGTAAGAAGCTGGGTAAATATATTTGTTGGAAGCTGGGAATACAGATTTGATTTTCAGCATTACATATAAGGTGCCTGAATTCATGTGATTGAAAGAGATTTCTCAGAAAGAGGAGTTTATAGCAAAAAGATAAGAGGCCACAGATAAAACCCAAATGGATGTCAAAACTTATTGGATGAATTGAAGAAAAGGGTGAGTTGAGGGAGAGTTAGAAGAAATTGCTATATGGATATAAGGAAATCAAGAGATGATAGTGTCACAGAGCTAAAAGTACTTACAAAATAACCATTTCAAGAATGATTGAGTGTTCAGTGTTACAGATATTAAGGAGTGATGTTAGAAATGTAATGAAACCTTCCCCCTCGGTTTAGCGACACAGAGACTACCAGTGCCCATAGCAAGAGTAATTTTAATGCAGTAAGAGAGGTGAAAGTCATACTAGAACTAGATGAAGAATGCGTGAGAGCATGGTAGGTGAAAGAATAGAGACAACTAGGTTAGGCAAATGCTTCAGGAAGCTGGTTTCTGAAGCAGAGAGGAGAAGGAAGATGCTCTCTTGCATATGAAGAATGGATTTATTTTTAAAATACAATTTGAGAGAATTTGATATGTAAATACTTCAAGAATGGGTTTGAGGGAAACAGAATGGCAGATACCAAATGAGCGTGTTGGGGGTTGTTAATAAAAGAAAGAAGGGGTTAATCAGCAGAGTTATAGGAAGAAGGAATCTGGAGTGATTAGATGTGCAATACAGTAGGTCAATAAAAGTTTGGAACAACCACTGTGTGAAATTTTAAAGAGCATTGATCAGGGAACTCCAGGAGAATTGCCAGACAGCACTAGGGACAGTAGATTTGTAGTGATGCTAGACTGCCATTTGTTTTTCAAGTAGACAAAACTGTCCAGCTATTGTGTTAATTTAGGTTTGAGGCTTTGGATGGGAAAAGATAATTTAGAACCTTGTTTGAAAACCAAGATTCCAGTGATGAATTATGGAATCTCAATTGGATGTAGATGGAAGACAATATAAGAAGAGGCTGATGAAATTTGATGTGGCCAGATGTATTAATAGGATAGAAGAAAAAGATATTGCAGATGAGGCTGTTATAAAGGATCATGGTGGCATGGATAGGAGTCCACAGATGAAGGAGGAGAGGTATAAGTCATTGAAGTTAAACAAGTAGACAGACTCAAAGGCCAGGGCATTGAAATGAAGTTCAGGCTCAATAAACACATATTTCTTGATTGCAGTTCCTGTGCCCAGGCATTGTGGATAGATAGCAGAGGCCATATCCTTCAAGAGTGGGCAGATATGACACATAAATCAGCTCAGGAAATGATGGAGGAGGTACATGGGGTGAAGGTGGTCTGGGAAAGCTTTTCTGATGGAAAGGGGAGGTTGAGTCTGAATGCTGGGAAGGTGGCAGTAATGCAGTGAACTGGGAGAGAGAATATGTAAAGCTGAAGAGCAACAAATGGGAACGTTCTACTTGAGATCAGTGTTGGTGAAAAAGGACCAGTGTGATTAAACTGTAGGTAGTGGAAAGGAGAGTAATGGGATTTGATGTCAGGGATAGATGGGCTGTGTTTTTAGGACCTTAAATGGTCACTCAAGTAATGTTAGGTTGTGTTTTAAATGTGCTTAGAAATCATGGCAGATTCTAATAGGGATATTTGTACTGATCTTTGTTTCTGAGTGAAGAGTCAACTTCAGGGGGATGAGAGGAAAGAGGGATGCCACTGAAAGATGGCTGGAATTTCTGAAACAAGAGCTAATGATGATGATTGGATTTGGATGCATTCTGGAGATATAACTGAGAAAAATGGCTAACAGGTGAGACTTAGGGAATGGGAATAAGAAATGACTGAAGGATCACTCCTATAGTATGCCTTAAGTGACAGGTAGGCAGTAATTTAGGGGCCAGTGACAAAATCAGTATATAATTATGCTTTTCTTAGGATTAAATTTGAAATGATTATTACTTTTCTGTGCCATATTGGCAAAGGTAGTTAAATATTTAAGTTTTGCATGCAAGGGAACAGGTGGAAGTAGAGCTGCAGTTTTGGGTGGCTAGGACATCAAATACTGTTTAAAGTTACTGTTGTGGATGAGACCACAATCACATAGTAAGGGAAGATAGGCAGGTACAGCAAAGGTCTGAGAAATGGATGTATGGAACATCTAGAAATGTGAAAAGAAAGAAAGGCTCATTACCCAGGGACTTGAAAACCAGGTGGTTAGTGAATCTGGAAGGAAAGAAATAACATGTGGTGTCCAAGAAGCCAAAGGAAGAAAATGCTTCGATGCCCTAACCATGCGATAGCTACCCCTGCCTATTTAGAGAGAAGGTCATGGGGTTATGAATGAGTGGAACATCAGGGAAAGGGGATTTGCCCTTCTTACCTCTGATATCCTTCAGTTTTTTCATTCTTAGTGAACTCTGTTGACTTAGTAGAAGAGTTATTAAGAGTGAGCTACTGCCATGGTTCTTAGCTTTGAACAAGGATATGAATTTATACGATTTTATGTCCATGCCTACATTGTTGGGAAACACTTCAACAACACAATGAACTTGTGACTGTTCATGAAGGGCATCCATTGAAAAACTAGAGGGGAAATCAATGCGGCAAGGGGTGGGGAGGGACCTTGGGGAAGAGCATGGGCAACTCTAGAACCTATGGAATTATATCATAAAACAAAATAAAATGTTAAAATAAAAAAGTCCTTCCTGGATAAGAAGATAAAACAATTCGAAATAGAAAGTTAGGAGTCATTGAAGAGCTTCAGAGGATGTATCTTGAGGGTTTTTGTGATTCCTTCACCCACATTTTTACCCAGTAGGCTATGTGCATGGTCAGGACAAGTAGCTCAGCCAATAGGTCTAGCAAAACTAAGGCACAGAGGAGAAAAACACACAGCTATGATCCTAGTCAGTTGGGTTTGGTTGGGCTCCCAAATTGTTTGACTGATTGAACCTAGTCCAACCTGTGCTCAGAACCCACACAAGAAGAGCTCAAGTTAGTGATTCTTTGTCACAGATGTAATTAGATCCAGAAATTTCTCCACTGGCATTGTTTCCTTTCCCATCTTTAATCCAAGTTTGTTTAAACCCCTGAAACTGCCCTGGTCTCCCAAGGGGCAAGGAAGCAGCAGAAATTGTGTTGCATCTCTAAATCCCCGATGGCCTTGCTTAATGGAATGGACATATTTCATTAAACAAATGCTTCTGCCATCTGCTCTACTCCAATTAGGGAAGCAAGAGGAACATATTTCTCAATTATGTTGAAGAAGCTTTCTGGACTCAGAGGCCCTGGCAAACGGCCTTGCCTTAAGCAGTACCGCCTCAAGCTTGGAGGTGCGCTTCATGTCTTGTTTCTGAACTCCACCACTAAGGTTTGCATTCCCACATTCCATTCTGAGTTAGAATCAATCTGATTCACTAGCACAAACAACCATGTCACTTGTTTGTTTAAAATCATTGTATGTATTACAATAACATTGAGTCCTTCATTTGTGCCTGGTGCTGTGCTAAGCATTTTATGTAAATTATGTTAGCTAAGTGTTACAACTTTGTTGTGAAGTGTGATTCCCCAGTCTACATATGAAGAAACCAAGGCTTGGTGATCTTAAGTGACAAAGCCAAGGTTTCCTGGATTGTGATTGGTGGAGCTCAGGTTTGAGCACAACAACCTAATGACAGAACTTACATAATTATGCAATGTACTAACTAGTGAGAGTGCATAGAATGTGATAGAAGGTAGTCCTCTTCCAGAGACCTCACAGTCTTGTACAGAGAAAGCAAATAAACAAAAAACAAAACCATGAAGGGGTGACTCAAGATAGAAAAACATTCTGACTATAGTATAGTATCTTTGCAGCTTTATACCCTGTCTCTAAAATGTGGATTGCACTGTGACAGCAGCCTGTCCCATCTGTTTGCCCATCTATGCTATTACCGACCATCATTTTTCCTGTTTAACTCTTCTAGTGTGTTCTCTCTGCCTCTTGGCTTGCTGATACTTTTTTTTTTTTGGAAGAAAAATCATTCAGTATTGTGATTTTCTAGTTACACAAATTTATGCATACCCTTCTCAGCTGCTTACCCATGCTGTCTAATGTTCTATTTGTTCCCAGTCCCTCATTGCTCAAAGAAGTTTTTCCCAGTGTTCAACACTGTCTCCAGAAATTCAGTCACGTCCCGTGGTCTTCACGGCTGGAAGCTGGATTTACCATCTGTTTCCCTGGGAAAATAGAGATGACTACTCCAGCTACCTGTACTTCTTGTTTCTGCCCTTGGTATATTCTCTGCAATCTCAGAAAGATAATAACATTAACTTGTGATTTGAATTTTGTAAGTCAGACACTATTGAATACCCTCATGTGGTTGCTCATATGGTCTTCACAATTGACCCTTCAAAAAGAAACTATTACTATTGTTGTTTAAAATTGACAGATTACATACATACTTATATAACAAAAGATGTCTTAGAATATATACACATTATAGAATGACTAAATATAGCTAGTTAGCATATATGATACTATATATCTTAGAGTTTTTAATGGTGAGAACAGTTAACATCTATTGTCTTAGCACTTTCCAAGTGTAAAATACATTATTATAACTTAGTCGCCATTTTGTGCAGTGAATCCCCTTAACTTCTTCCTCCTAGGTTTATGAACTTTTGTATTCCTTGACCAGCATTTCAGCAAGTCAACATCCTGGTAGAATGATGCTTGTATGAGTTTTACTCTATTAAATTACACGTACATGAGAACCTGAGATGTTATTGTTCAGTGCCTTGCTTATTTTGCTTAACAAATGTCCCCAGGAGTCATCCATTTGGTTGTGAATAAAGATGATTCTTTCCTTTGGTGTGTCTTCCTTGCTCAGGGGCCATGCTACTCTTCTCTGTATTGTTCCAGTTTTAATGTATGTACTGTTGAAGTGAGCACAAAATATTTCCTTCTTTTTAAAGTCTGAATAATACACAGGCTTCCTGCATATACTTTTTTTTTTAAAAAAAGATTTTAATTTTTGTTGGAAAGTCAGATATACAGAGAGAAGAGAAGAGACAGAGAGGAAGGTCTTTCATCCATCCATTCACTCCACAAGCGGCCGCAATGGCTGGAGCTGAACTGAAGTGAAACCATGAGCCAGGAACTTTTTCTGGGTCTCCTATGCAGGAGCAGGGTCCCAAGGTTTGGGGCCATCATCAACTGCTTTCCCAGGCCACAAGCAGGGAGCTGGATGGCAAGTGGGGCCTCTGTGATTAGACTGGTGCCCATATGGGATTTCGGTGTGTGCAAGGCAAGGACTTTAGCTACTAGGCTGTCATGCTGGGCCCCTGTGCATACTCTTATATAGCACATTGATAGAAACTTAGGTTGGTGTTATTACTTGGTTATTATGAATAAAGTTCCATTGAACATGGAGTGTAGACATCTCATTAAATACTCATCTTGTTTCCTTTAGGTATGTCCCCAGTGGTGGAGTTTTTGAACCATGTAGTAGTTCCCCTTTTGATTTTTTGACAATCCTCCACGTTGATTTCCGTAAAGATGGCACTAATTTACATCCCCACCAGCAGTGTACAAAGATTGAGAAGAGCTAGTTTTAATCATTACATTACATGTGAGAAAAATGAGGCTTAGAAAGAAAGGTTAGATGCTGTTTCCAGGGAGGAAGTCCTCATAGATTCTGTCTTCTCATTATATCTGTTCTCCCAATGAAGTTGCATCTTCTTATGTGATGCTTATAATACTAGCATGATAAATCATGGTGAGATTCAGATAATAATATTATGGTGTTTGGTTATGTGAGCAAAATAGAATTCTGCTCTCAGATTTCTAGTAGTCTCCATAACTTCCTCAAAGAAAATTAATGCAAAGCATAGGAAATAATATTATTTGCTGTGGCTTTGATTCCTACAATTAATATAACACTGAAAATGAATCAGGCTGGGCTTACGGAGGAGTCCTTTCTCAATTCGTGGGTGATGTGCATGGTATTATAACAAAACAGATTAAAAGATTGGTTCCCTCCCTAGCCCGGTGTTGAAACTTACATCTCCACTGTGATATGACCAAACAAATGCAAGGTGCAGAATGTGGGAGAATGTGTGTGTCTGCAGTAGATTGTCGTTGCTCGCTATGGATTTTTAAAGACTATGTTCTACATGCTCCACAGAAAATAGAGGGAAGGGGAAAAAAACAAAACTTCCTTTCTTTAGGCTCTTGGGAGAAACAGGGTTAGCTGGAGTCTGGCTATGTGGCAGGAGACAGAAAAGGAAAGTGTGTATCTATTTATATCACAGTCTATTGCAGTCTACTGAATCCTTCTGAGAGTTCCAGTCACTCACACTGGGACACCAGGCCTGCAATTCAGTGGTCCAGAGCAGCCTTCTGATCCTCAGGGGTAGCATTATCATTTTCTTGATCTCACCTCTAAGGAGGAATAATGAGAAAGCCTTGAATTTCTTCTTTTAGAAGTCCTTTTATTAGCTAAGTGACTTGACTTTTCTTTTCTTTCTTCTTATCATTTCTTTCTTTCTTTCTTTCTTTTTGACATTTTCATGCCTTTAAGAGATGATCGTTCAGGGCAGATGCGTGGTCAGGTGGAAGATGGGACTAGGAAAGCTGAGGTGCTCGTGACAGAGTGACAGTTGTGATTGTAGTCATGGCTTCATCAGAGGTGTAATGGTAGGTAGTCTGATTTTTTTAAACTTATTTTAATTCGGAAGGGAGATTTACAAAGAGAGGGGGACACAGAAAGAAAGGTCTTCCATCCACTGGCTCACTGAGATGATCACAATGGCTGCAATTGAGCTGACCTGAAGCAGAAGTGTCTTACAGGTCTCCCATGTGGGTGCAGCAAATGCTTTGAGCCATCTTCTCTCTTGCCAGGCTACAAACAGAGGACTTGATGGAAAGCGGAGCAGCCAGAGCATGAGTCTGCCACTTGCAAGTGGAGGAATAGCCAGTTGAGGCATCACACCAGCCCTGAGAGTCTGAGTTCTATACTCTTTTGCCCACAACTAAAAGGGCAATATATAGTAGAAATTGCACACAGAGCTGTTGTGAGGACTAAATGAGGTCGTATGTTTAAAAGGTATAAGTAAGGGTTCTTCAGAAAGTCAATGGAAAGTGTACATCCTCTTAACTTCATTTTTCCATGAAAAATTTGCATGAGTTGCTTTCCTACACTGTCCCAACCGAGTACCATGAACAGGATGTCTTGAAATCATAATAAACTTTTGGAGATCAAAAGTCCAGAATCCAAGTGCTTGGCAGGCCATTCTTCAGATGGCTCCAGGAGATGCTCTTACCTGGCCTCCTCCAGCTTGGCCTGTTCCCAGTGATCCTTGGCCTATCCGTGGATCACTGCAGTGGTGTGGCTGTCTTCTCCCTGCACACCTTCACTTGTGTTTCCTCTGCTGTGTCTCCATTCTCTCTCTCTCTCTCTCTCTTTTTTAATAAGGATACCATTCACATTGGGTGGGAGCCCACTCAGTGTCATTTTAAATGGATTCCCTTTGTAAAGGCTGAATTTTTCCAAATAATGTCTCATCCTGGGGCAGTGGAGGTTAGATGGTTAAGAAGGTCTTTTTGGAGGAGATACAGTTCAGTGCATCTCAAAGCCCTTTCCCAGTCACAGGGGCCAGGAAAACAATCAGCGTCTCCCTTTTCTCAGAGCACTTCCATCAGTGCAGAGCTTTGTGCTAGGCGCAGGACTGTCAGCTTCTGCTCAGTGAGCACGCACGGTCCACAATTACACATTCAGCTCTGGAGGCAGGTGGCGGAGCTGTTCTCGTGGAACATCATCAATATTGTGACACTGCGACACATGTCAGCCACAGGGTGCTGCAGGTCTGCTGCTTAGGGGATTCTTCTGAACATGGAAATTAGCCTCCAAAAGTCTTAGGCAGACGGAGTGCTGCTCTTCCCAGAAGCAGGAGGGCAAGAGGAACAGAGGACCAGCATTCGGGGGGCCTTGGAATCCGCCTTGCCCAACTGCTTCATTTTAGCAAAGAGGAAATTGAGGCCCAGCAAGGGACAACCACTTACTCTAGCTAATGTGCAGCCAAGATAGAAAATGTGTTCTCCAGTTCCCATTTGCTGCACTTTCACCCAGGGCCGTGTCCCATTGCTAGCCCCGCTGTTACTGATGGTTTGCTTTTTTGCTTTGTATGGAGATTGTCTTTGAACCTCTTCACTCGCACAGTGGGTGAGGTGCCCTGAGCTAGCATTGTCCACATTTGAGCTTCATAGGTAATTTTAAATTTCCTAGTGGTTACAATAAAAACATACAAATGAGTGAAATTAATTGTATTATTGACTTGACCCAGTTTCTCCAAAATGGTATTTCAATCTGCAGATGATATATGACTGTTAATAAGATATTTTACCATGTTTCTAATTGAATCATTGAAATCTTAAGTGTGTTTTCTAGCGAATCTTGATTTGAACTCAGGGGATGTCACTCATTTGCAGCTGTGTGTGCCCAGAACTGCTGAGTTGGGCAGCACAGCTTTCAGCCAGCATCTCCCAGGGCTCATCTGTCTCTGCTGAAAACTTTGCTGTAAATTGATCACTTCTTTCTCAGAAATGAACATTTTTACAATATTTTTTTGTCCTGATATTTTTGTCAAAATGTCCTTCATCTCTTCAGATTAAATAATAGTGAAACAGATGAAAAGGTTTTTTAAGTGTTCTTATTTGTCAAAATAAATAACTTGGGATACTAGACCAATTCTTTATTAAAAATTTGTATGTGAGTGGCTTTTGGACCCAAGAGGGTAAAACACTGCTTGGGCTCTGAGTGTCTCGTATCCAAGTGCTTAACTTAAGCCTCTGCTATTCTGTCCCTGATCTAGCATTTTCATTAAAGTGTTTAAAAGTGTTTCTCTCTGATTCTCTATCTGATTTTCAAATAAAATGAAAATGAATTTTAAAGATTTCTTTTTGGGAAGGTCAGATATACAGAAAGGAGGAGAGACAGAGAGGATGATCTGCTGTCTGTTGATTCACTGTCCGAGAGCTAAGCCAATCTGAAGCCAGGAGCTAGGGGTCGGGCACTTCCTCTGGGTTTCCCATACAGGGTCCCAAGGCCTTGGGCCATCCTTTGTGACTTTCCCAGGCCATTATCAGGGAACTGGATTGGAATCAGGGCCATCCACATGGGATCCTGGTGTTTACAAGGCAAGTACTTCAGCCAGTAGGCTACCACGCCAGGTCCAAAATGAAAACAAATTTTTAAAAAGATGCTCATGGGGGATGTAACAGCCAGTTCATTGAAACTTGCAGAGGAAGTCTAGTACTGTGGAGGGCAGAACAAATTGGACAGCTCTCCTGGTCAAGCTTTAACAGCAAGCATCTGGACGAATTAAGACCCTAAGATGGACTGAGTCAGCCAATGGACCTTGGAAGGATTTCCTCAACCTTGCAGCAAAGAAATCAGTAGCATCTCAGAATTATCAAAACCACTTAAGCAGTACCCTCAGAACATGATTCACACTGGGGACCCTGAGATGACAGAGTGACAGCCCCCATTCCCTGGTGCTGGTGTGGGTGGGCTGCTTAGAGTGGCCCTTTCTCCTTCTCTCTCCACTTTCCTCAGATACAGGAAGTAGAAAGGAGATTGGAGACAATTGTCTCATCGACTTTTCCCCCATTCCTTGACCCTAATCAGTGGTCCACATGGGTGCGTATCATTCTCTACTATGTTAACGTCATCCAAAATAAAGTGAATTTATTATTAAAAGATAAAAATGAAACTGATATAAATTTTTAAAAATGTTAGTTTGCTGCTATCAAAAAGGAACTTTGTGCCTCTACATACATGAATATATTACATGCATTTACATATTTTATATTCTTATAATATATACTCCTGTATATATTTGTTTTTATTTTGCCAGCCCATGAAATCACCATCATTCACTGAGATTCTTTCT